CGGCCTGTCTTCACCAAGAGGGAGCCTGGGCATGCCAGGACTGTTTCCAAGTAGACGGCCTGAAAGTAGAGAACCTAGGAACTCAGCTGATGGGCCCTTGGGCTGCGAAGGAGGAAGTGTTTTGTTTGAATACTAGCTAGTTCTCGGGTCCCTAGGGCTGCTGTGGAGAGGGCAGGAAGGAGTCCCCAGAGTGGGTGTGCTGAGAGACACCTCACTCGAGTGTAAGGAATCAGCGACACAGGGCTGGGCACCCAGGGGCAGGCACCACAGCAGCAGCGTCAGCCTGCCAGGGCAATGAGGTCCGGGAGATGGGGGCCACTCCTGTCTCGGGAGGTTCTGCTCAGCAGCCCCACTGTTCTGCACAGACCCCGTCCTTTGGTGCCGTGGCTGGGAAGGTGACATCTACCCAAGTGCCCCAAACTGGGCCCCCCGCCCCCAGAGTTAGCCGCACAGGTACCCGTTCGTTCCCAGCAGGCGTGTGAGTCCTACCTTTTTTCTGAGGCTTCTCATTCATGATCAGTTTGTAGTGGAGATCTGAAAGCAAGCAAATACTCCTCCTTACCACACCCAAAACCTACAGCCACTCAGAGCAAAGTGTGGCCCCACCAGCTTTTCCCACCAGCCTCGGGCTGATCCCTGTCTTCCCCAACACCCGAGGAGTCTATCCACCAGGCCAGTCAGGGACAGGGCTGCTGAAGGCAGGATGGCTAGCCTTCCAGGAGCCCCTGGCAACAGGGTGTGTGTGATAGGAGGCTGGTCAGTGAGACATGGGGAGAGCCTCAAGGAAAGCATGGAGAGGGAGCCCTAATGTAATAAGATGCCCAGTGAGAGAAGCTTTGGCATTCCAGGTAAAAAACAGTACCAGGAAAAGGGAGAAACTGAGGCCGCAGGGTGGGAGGAAGTTGAGGGCCCTAGCTAAGGTGCTATCAGCACAGTCATGTCACACCTCTAGAGGCCTGAAGCTCTGAGTAGGCCAAGCCTCGCGGTGGGGAGCATGAAGCGTGCCCCGCTGGAAAGGATGCGGGGCAGTATCCGGGCGGGCCCTGCGCATGTGTTTAGTTGGTGACCATCTGCTCGCATCTGCTCTGCTGTTTAACTTCCGCAACGGTTTTAAACAACGGGGTGGGCCACACACTGCGCTGGGCAGAGTGCACAGGAGGATCCGCGTTCGTCTGGGAGCGGGGCGCAAAAGGACCCACCGAGGAGAAGCCGCCCGCGCCCTTCCCCGCACCCGCAGACTGCTCGGGCCGTAAATGCCGCGCCGGCACCCAGCGGCTCACCCTTGTTCTCCCGCTTCAGGTGCTCGATCTCCTCGTGGAGTTTGACCAGCGTCTCCGAGTGCTGCTGCTGTAGGAACTGCAGACTCTTCTCCAGGTCCAGGATCCGCTTCTGTGCCTCGCTGAGCCCGAGCGGAGCCGGCTGCGTCCCCACGTGCTGCGGGCCGACGGGAGGGCGCGGGCGTGGGCGGGACGCACCCCGGGAGCCCGGGGCTGCGGAGCTGAGGGGCCGCGCCCCGGCCGCCACCCCGGCCCCGCTCATGAAGGCGCCGCCGCCGCCGCCGCTCAGTACCCGCTGCTGGAGCCTGGCGCCCGGTCGCCGTGGGAACCGCTGCGCCCGAGAGGGCGGGGCACGCCATGGGGCGGGGCCTGCGGCCGCGTTCGGCCCGGGGGAGCGCGCGGGACCCCTGAAGCCGCCGGAACCGTCCGCCTTTACCGCGCGTCGGGTGCGGGTGCGGAGCGGGGGTGTGCGGAGCAGCGCTCGACGTGGGTCTCACTCCCCAGCTTGTGAGCCGAGCTCTGTCCTCGTTGCTGAGCAGGCCCGTGAGCCCCATCTCCCTGCCGCCCGCGCTAAGATCCCAGTGTGCGTGCGCCTTCCCTCCACTTACATGTGGGTGCGAGGGACCCGAATTTAGGTCCTCGTACTTGGGCAGCAATCACTGTGCATGCTTCCTGAGCCACCGCCCTAGCCCCGCTTGCACTTTTGAACAGGGTCTCGCCCCGTAGCACACGATTATAGGTGTGTGCCACAGCACTGGTTCTAAACTCGTCTCTCACGTTGTTTTAATAGCTTACTTTTTAAACACATACCAATAGTTTAAAAAAACCTTCCAACACTCACACAATCTTTGTGGATCTAAGTAGGGGAGAAAAAGCTGCCTGAACATACAAGAGAGACACCTACAGAGCAGGAGGGCCTTTTATCCCAGCACTTGGGAGACAGAGGCAGGCAGATCTTTGTGAGTTCCAGGACAGCCAGAGCAACATAGTGAGACCCTCTGGAAAAAGACAAAAGCAAGCTTTGAAAACAAGACAAAGGAAAAGGAGGACTGTTTGAAGGAAGCGCTTGCTTTTCTTTCTTTTTTTCTTTTCTTCTGTTCAGGCCAGCAAGCCTGAAACAAGGAAGGCCCGGCTTAGTCTTTCATTTATGCCAGTCTGTATGAGTGTGTACTGTGGGTGTGCATGGACCCATCGAGGCAGTTATGAGTAGCCTCAAGTGTGCGCTGGGAACCAAACTCAGGTTCTCTGCAATGGCAGGAAGCACTCTTCTCCCCCACTTGGAAACCAGACCATTTATATATGTAAGACATCGTCTAGCTATGTAGGCCAAGCGGGCCTCGAACTCAGATCTGTCTCTGCTTCCTGAATCCTGGGATTAAAAGGCATGCCTGTGTTCTGCCTGCACACCAGACACCATGCAGGTGTTGGGAACTGAACTCAGGACCTCTGGAAGAGCAGCCAGTGCTTTTAACCTCTGAGCCATCTCTCCAGCCCCTGGAAACTAAATTTCTAAAAGAAGGCTATGTAAGAGTCACCTCTCAATGGTTCTGTTTGGTACTTGCCTACCATGTCCATGCCCCCAGGAGTCCATCCTTTGCACAGAAAGAATCCACGTGAGTGAGGTAGTACATGCCTTCAGTCTCAGCACTACGGAGGCAAGAGGAAGGCAGATCTGTGGTTTTTGAGGCTAGCCTGGTCTACATGGTGAGTTCCAGGACAGCCAGAGCTACATGAGCTCTGAGCTACATAGCTACACCCTGTCTTCAAAACACACACACACACACACACACACACACACACACACACACACACACACAATTCTTAAAAGAAATCGTTTCAGCCAGGCAGCAGTGGCTCACACCTTTAATCCCAGCACCCAGGAGGTAGAGCCAAGCGGATCTCTGTGAGTTCGAGGCCAGCCTGGTCTACAGATCCAGGTCAGGCACCAAAGCTACACAGAGAAACCCTGTCTCAGAAAACAAAAAACCCCCACAAAAACAACAACCAAAAACCCAACCAACAAAACCAAAAAAAAAAAAAAAAAAAAAATTTCAAACTGACCATGGAAGCTAATACCTAGGACAGGTAGGCCACAGTGAGATCCTATTTAAAACAACCATCACCAGGGAGATGGTTTAGGGAGAGACCCGGTTCATTTTGTGTTGCTGTGATAAACACCAAAAGCAAAATGGGAAAGAAAGGGTTATTTTAGCTTACAGGTTACAGTCTATCATGCAGGCGCCTGAGGCAGAAACCAATGAAGGAGCACTGCTAACAGGTCTGTTCCCAGGCCCACCTGTCTAGGGATGGGACCACCCAAAGTGGGCCAGGCTTGCCTACACTAACAACCAGGAACAGGTCCCACAGGCAACTCCTCGGTCCAAGCTCCCTTTCCTCAGGTGTAAGTTGACAGCTGAAGCTATGACAGCAGGTGAGGACGCTTGCTGGCAAACCTGAGTTCAGTTCCTCAAACCCACCAGACAGAAGGGGTGGCTCCTTCACCTTCTGCTCTGACACACACACACACACACACACACACACACACACACACACACACACACACACACACGACACATGTGCACCCACTCCACTCCACACACACACACCCACCCCGCAACCACCATAAGTAAATGAAAAAAAAAAACCTCCAGGAGATGTGGAGGGGTAGTCAGGGTGGATTGTATACACTGTATATATGTATGAAGCTATCAGGAAAAAAAAACATTAAAAAGATTTATCTCATAAATATCGATAGTCAGGCTGCGCACAGTGTCGGCGCACACCTTTAATCGCAGCACTTGGGAGGCAAAGGCAGACGGACCTCTGAGTTCCAGGACAGCCAAGGCTGCATAGATAAACTGTCTCCAACACCGTCTCCCCCTAAAAACAATACTGACAGGGTTACTGATAAGGGCTAGTCATTCGGAAGCTTTGACCAGGGGAATGGGGACACTGGACACTCAGATGGCAACGGCTCCCCCAAGGGAGTTGTACTCTTGGGAAGACACTGGCCTAGAGTGGGCTAGCACAGATCCAGATGCTCATGACTCTTCTGGGGGCTGGAGATGGCTCAGCAGTGGGTTAAGGGCGCTGCAGAAGACTGGGGTTTGGTCCCCAGCACCCACAAGCAACATTTATTCACATATAATAAAAATAACATCCTTTTTGTTTGTTTGTTTTGCTTTTGTTTTCCGAGACAGGGTTTCTCTGTGTAGCTTTGCGCCTTTCCTGGAACTCACTCTGTAGACCAGGCTGGCCTTGAACTCACAGAGCTCTGCCTGACAAAAATAACATTCTTTAAAAAAAAAAAAAAAAAAAAGCTGGGTGGTGGTGGCGCATGCCTTTAATCCCAGCACTTGGGAGGCAGAGCCAGGAGGATCTCTGTGAGTTCCAGGCCAGCCTGGTCTACAGAGTGAGATCCAGGACAGGCACCAAAACTACAGAGAAACCCTGAAAAACAAAATAAAACAAACAAACAAAAAAGGCTTCTGAAAGCCAGAGGTGATGCTTGTTCTGATGGACAGGCGTCAGCTCTGACACACTGAGAAGGGGACAATCTCACGACACCCAGGGGTAAAGTGAATGGGAAGAAACAGGACTCCCAAGCAAAAAGGACTGCATGAGGTCACGAGGCGCCACTGTGCCCAGCAGCTTGTTCCAGGTTCCCAAGTGCCCAGGGACCCCAGGCAGGTGAAGGTGCTGAAGACTCAGTCCAGACAGTGAGAGTCTCCGAAGAATATTTTATTCGGATCCTTGGTCAGTTATGTTTTGACTTTTGGTCATGAGTCCCCAGATGTATTCTGAAATGACACTGAAAATACAAAGACCAGTGCTAACACTTGAAAAAAAAGGTTTTTTCCTTAAAAAACAGCTGTGCACACCCAAAACAAAGGACTGTTTTGCTTCTGCTGCTGCTGGTGGTGGCGGTGCTGGTGTCTCCTGCAGGGTGAAGACGAGGCCTGCGGTGCCTGAGCTCTGACTGTGAGGGTGGCTTTCCCTTCAAGTCCTTGGTTTGACCGGTAAAGCCAACGCTGTTGCACTTTGTACCCACAGAGGCTGGGAGGACCCAGCTCCACCCTAGGCAGCCGGGGACCAGCAGCTCTCCTCACTGCTGGCCTGCCCCAGGGCACTGTGGGCCTGGAACCCACTCTAAGTGACAGCTCACTTAAGGGCTTCTGGCCCAGGCCCTGACTTGTCTGCCTGGCATGCCTGCTGCTGCGGGTCTCCTGGGGCCGACAGCTGGGCACAGACCAAGGGCAGCAGCAAAAGTGATGTTTAAGCGAATGCAGAGCTGACCTTCTCAGTCATCTCTTAAAAACTCGGCTTCTCCTTTGGAGTGGATGTGGAGCTGCTGCCCTGGTGTTTCATGGCGAGAGAAGATATCACAACCCACTCTGCCCACCTCACAGAGGCTCGGGCAGGATCAGCTCCCAGAGCCCAGGCCTAGAGCCTGCTGTGGGTACAACAGTCCCTGAGCTCTGCAGAGCAAAACAGTAGAATGGTCACCAAGGCCTGGAGTACTGGCTCAGCTACTCGTGGGACCTTGGGCTGAAGGTGAAGACCCATGCAGCACTCACTGACCTGCAGAACGGCTCCTGAGCCTTCTGACACCACCCCTTACAGGCCCAGCCTGGACCACTCTCCCTTCCCACATCAGTTTCTTCTGAATAACTCCGTCTTTGCAAGGAAACCACTCCCAAGAACTCTGGAGATGACCTACCCTTCTATTCCCGGCTGCAAAGCAACCTGCCAGGGCCTGTCAGGCCCAGGAATGGGTCGTGTGTCAACTCCCACAAGTCTGCTCAGGAGAGACGGCAGCAGGTCAGAGCTGATGCAGCTTGCCCCGCTCCGTGAGCAGCGTCATAGCTACGGCATAGAGGAGGTAGCCTAGGGCCAGCAGCAAGGAGCAGGGCAGGGGCCCAATGCAGAACAGAGAAGCCACAAAGAAAGCCAGCAGGAGCAGGAGCAGCGTCCGGTAACTGCCCAGGAAACGCAGGCTGAGCCTGGGGCCCCGGGCAGGACTGGTCGCCTGCCTCCGCCCCACAGGGCTCAGCAGGTGTCTGTTGCTCAGGGCTGGCTCGGTGAGGTGATAGCGACAGAAGCTGCCGAGGAAGTCGTTCCGGGAGCAGAGAGCCGCCATCTGGCCTGCAAACTGAGTAACACACAAGGGCTCAGCAGGCTGGGGACGGCAGGCAGAGCACCCTCTCCCAGGCTGGGGACGGACGGCAGAGCATCCTCTCCCAGGCTGGGGACAGCAGAGCATCCTCTCCCAGGCTGGGGACGGCAGAGCATCCTC